CTGACCTCTCCTGACCTACCCGCTACTCCCCTCAGCAGGTACTGCTTCAGCTGACCTGTTCTGCTTTCCACTCTGTCTCTGGTGAATCTTCTCACCACCCCTGTACCTCTCTGGCCTGTACCCCAGTTCTATGCTTAAATAAATAAATCTTTTTTTTAAAAAATCCAATAACAGGGGTTGTTTGTTTTTACACTTTAAAATAATTTGCTGCCCTCCCGGTGGTGCACCGGGTTAAAGCACAGCACTGCAAGAGAGCCACAGCCACTTCAGTGCAAGTTTGATCCCCCAGCCCCAGAGGTGATACACATGGTGTGGCAGACCTCTCCTGTCTTGCCCACTGCCCCCTCAGCGGTGAACTTCGTCAACTTGCCTGGTCTGCTCTGGTGAATCCTCTCACCTCCTCTGGCCTGTACCCCAGTTCTGTATGAATAAAAAAATAAAAAATAAAATAATTTGCACATCATTAAAAAACTTTAGAAAATGCTATTTTCTTCAACTGATATAATGGGTGGTTCTGTGGAGACAGGTATCATCACTCAACTTGCTTTTGACTAACAAGTTACTCCCAGTGAGGGAGCCTGGTCATCACTTACTGTTAGCCTTTGTTATTGTAACACAGCATTATAATAACACATTTACATGTTAATACAAGGAGAAAAGGTCATTAAGTTAATCTGCTTCTTAATAGAGTCCCTTTGGTGAACACATTAACCTTTCCAGCAAAACAAAGGTGATTGTATTTGTCTCCTCCAAGTAATATTACAAAATACTGTAAACCTGGATGCTTAAGAACATTTACTTCTCACAGTTCTGGAGTCTAGGATGTTCAAGATGAAAGTGCCCGTGGACTTGTTTCCTGGAGAGACTTCCTGGATTGCAGACAGCTGCCTTGTCACTTAAGTCCTTATCTATTAGGGCTGGAACTGGGGCCACAACATGGACCACAAACATTCCATAATAGTTGTTTATTTTATTTTTAAGAGATTTGTTTTTATTTATCTATGCATACAAGAACTAGGGTCTAGGTCAGAGGTGCAGGGGGTGAGAGAACTCACCAGAGACAGAATGGGTAACAAAGCAGGCAGATCCACTGAAATACACTGCCGGGAGACAGTCAGCTGCACCATGTGGGTCAGCTTCTTGACTGGAGGTAGACTCCACAGTGGCTGGAGAAAGCGTGATAGCACTGAAACTTAACCCCTGTGCCACCAGGAAGAGCCCAATAATTTTATTTTAAAGCAGTTACATTCCTGCAAAGTGCAAGGCATTATTGGGAGAAAAGGGAGGATTGAATTAACATGGAAAAGGAAATGGGGATATTACCTTTCAGAGGGCTTCCTTGCTCTTTGGGAGGCAGAAATGTGCACCAACCATGTGAGAGTTTTGTTATTTTTTTTAAAGATTTATTTTATTTGTGCATATAGAACTGGGGTATAGGCCAGAGGTGCAGGAGCGGTGAGAGGATTCACCAGAGGAAGAGCAGAGAGCAGAACAGGCAGAACAGGCAGATTGACGAAGTACACTGCTGAGGGGAGCAGTGGGTGGGTCAGGAGAGGTCTGCCAGGCCATGTGGGTCACCTCCCTGGTAATCAAACTGGTGCTGCAGTGGCTGTAATAGCTGCATAGTGTTAGTGCTTTAACCATTTGTGCCTGTGGGCGATTGGGGTCCTATGAGAGATTTAACCAGCTAATTGACTAGCAGGACAAATACCAAGAGTAAAACTTCAGCATGGGTTATATCGGTTTCAAGTTAAAATGCCATTATGGTGTGGGGTAGCTTGCTGTCCTGTGATGGTGATGCCGGAATCGGCGTGAGGAGTCTGTCCCAGAAGTCCTGCCTAGTGCAAAAGGAAGGGCTTGAGCACAGTTAAGATTGGCCTTGACTGAAAGTAACAAAGCACTTCCAGTCTTGTGGAGTGTTCACAAATAAGATTGCTTGTATTTGAGACTTATGGAGTTATAGTAAAATCACTCCATTCACAGATTTACAAACCTCAGCCAGCAGAGTCAAGATGTGGAGCATGCCTATCACCCTGACAGCCCTTTGGAATCTGTCCGCCACCTTAGCCCCGCTCCTGGCAACCAGGAGTACAGGTTCTCTCTTTTCTGTCTTTCCCAGAGTGTTGTTGAGATGATTTCTTTCCCTTGGTATCATTGTTAAAATCGGCCTGTGTTATTTATTTCTAACTTGCCTAACTTATAAATTAAACTTTATCATCGTTAGGGGAATTAATCCTATATAGGAAAAAAATACATCTACAAGTTTTGGTATGGAGGGTAGCAGGCGGTGTGTCTTTGGAAGGGGTGACTGTATTGCAGTTTGTTTATAAATTCACCCGCTGATGGACATTTGTGTTGCTTCACACTTTTGGTTGTTAAAAATGAAACCATAAACCTTAGTAGCTATAATATAAATCTATTGCAGGCAAGTCAGTAATTAGCAATCTGAGATCTGGCCATTCTTTGCCCACCTGTGACTGCAGGTATCTCCTTACTCCTTTTCCTAATAAACCTGTCCTTTTGAAATGTATTTTAAAAATTAAATTTTTAAAAAATTTGAAAACTTATTCTTTTGATTTAAGAAAACAATGTAACTCAGGCTCCCCCTTGAACTTAGTGTGGCTGTGATGATTATATTCATATACTGATGCAGAACCTTTCTGTTTCTAAATTTTCTTGATCATATACATGACTCTACGATGATTTGCTTAGTTGATTTTCTGGTTTGTGAAATCTAAGACAACACAGAGAAGAAATTGACAGCTAAGTTGTAATGCTGAAGAATGAAGCCCGTTAGTTGTTTTTATTTTTATTTTTTAAGATTTATTTATTTATGCATACAAAAACTAGGATATAGGCCAGAGGTGCATGGGGTGGGGTGAGAGGATTCACCAGAGACAGGAGCAGAATAATAGATAGGCTGAAATTCACCACTGGGGGGAGCAGTGGGCAAGACTGGAGAGGTCTGCCACACCAACCATGTGGGACACCTCCCTGTTCAGGAGTCAAACTTGTGCTATGGTGGCTGTGGACAGCTTCACAGTGCTATGCTTTAACCCACTGCCCCACCAGGGAAGGCCCAAAGCCCCTTTAGTTTTTAGAAGAGTTTTTAATATTTACCAGGCAGGCAGCAAACAGGTGCACTTTGTAGAACTGCACCAAGCAGTATTGATATGTAGCTGATGGTGCTGGCAATGGGGAGTCAGAAAGGTTCAAGACAGTCCCAACCCTTTACTTCTGCCTATACATAAATATTTCTAAATTTTTTTTGTTTCACACCTTGCTTGATTTGATGAAAGGTGGTCTTCAGGCGTATACAACATGGATTCAAATTTCTACTTGCCTCCTTGGCTATGCAGGCACAGTCACAGTCTCACCCAGCTTGTCCCCTGTCTGTTTTAGGTTGTGACCTGTCATTCCCTGGCAATAAATTGGTCTCTGGAGATCACTGTAAAATCATAGTGAATGATAAATCCGGTCAGGTGTTGCTGGAAGATACCAGGTGAGCACTTTCTGAACTTCTTTCCTGCTTCCTTTTGTGGCTTGAAGAAGCTTGTTAAGAATTTAGGCAGTGTGTTGCTAGTTCCAGTGACAGTTTGTATTTATGATCCTCCTTAAACAAATTAAGCAAAAATATCTAAGACCTAAAAGGCAGCAATACATTTTTGTTTCTATGAAACCTTTTCAGTTTAGACTTCTCCCCCCATAAGAAAAAAATAGAAACCAAGTAGCACCTAAAAATGAAAAGTATCCCCAAATCCCCTTCACCTCCCAGCAGTACAGTATGTGTGTTGTACACCTGGGAGGTGTCGCTGCTGGGCTGTCGTGGGAGCTCCTCCCCTTGGAGTGTGGCCATGTCCCTTTTAACTTGTCTGCTCCTTCTGGTAAAATTGATTGTTATTATAAATGATACAGGTGACTTTGCATTTCTGCCCCATTATCTGTTTGGGTGGGTGCACAGGAAGGAACGAGGGGAAGAGGTGGCAGTGCAGCTGTGTGTGGGGCCCGCCTTTCTCCCCTCTCCCCAGGTGGCTTTTTTTTTTTTGTAAGGTCAGGACCAATTTTAGGGATAGGAGCTTGAGAACTGGGTCTTATCAGGCAGCTCATGCTCCTTCCCTCCTCACCTGAGGAACAGGTGGCCTCTTGGTTACATGGAATGTGGCTGCCCAGTGTCCTGTGTTGGGCCTGGTTTTCTCATCTGGCTGTAAGAGGCTTGTAGACCTTATGGCTCTTGTGACAAGTTACAGTAGACACAAAGGCTTAAAGTCACACGCATGTGTTAATCTGACTTCTGGATGCCCAGAGTCCCACCCAGGTCTCACTGGCCTATGATCCAGGTGTGAGCAGGCTCTTTTATTCTGGAGGCTAGAGGGGCGATCCCTTTCCTGCCTTTTCCAGCTTTCCAGGCTGCTGCTGAGGTGGCTGTAGGGGAGGGTTGTTTGGACCACAGGGACTCAAAGGTGTGAGTTCCACGCACACTGGAGGCCAGACAAGTGTGGGTAGTGCAGTGGAGCCTAGCATCACATCCACCCCAGAGAATCAAGATTCTGCCCTGTGAGCAGAGGAAAGTGCCTGAGGGGTTTGAGTAGAGGGTAAGACTAGGGTGTTGTTATGGAGAGTGAGAGGCTGGGGGGAGGCCTTGGCATTCATATTCTGACAGTTGCACTGCTATATGTGCTAAGTGTGACTAGCTAGATGCCACCACTTTCCCTGCCCACATCTGCACTGCCTCCAGTGAGTCAGGGAGAGGCTGGACAGGGCAGAGTGAGCTGACTGCTGTTTGACCTTCTACAGAAAGCTACTGGAATAGCCTCAGGGTAAAATGCATCTCTTCCCCTTTGTGGACTTCGGCATGAGAGCCTGTGGTCTTAAGGATACAGTGACCCCTACCTCCCACCCCACCCGGAGCCCTGACTCTTGGAGTGATCTCCACCCTCAGGAACCATGCTGCTTAACCGTTACCCAGCAAATCAGCCTCTGCCCAGACTGCCCCTGGGAGTCTCAGTGCTCCTTGGATAAATGAGCTGGTGGAAAGGGTGGGCCTGTCAGTGGGCTCATCGTGATGAGAGGAGTTGTGCTACGAGGCTACAGAACTGTTAGACAGCAGAGTTGGGTAGAGCAGCACAGACACTGCTGCATAGGCCATGGGTGTGGAATGAGGCCTGGCTGAGTGTCTGACAGTCCTGCATGGTCAGCTTCTGCTGTGAGGCTGGGCTGCCATCCTGGCTTGGTGGAGCTCCACATTGTGTTCCAGCAAGTCTATTGTCTCTGTTTTTGTAGCACCAATGGCACAGTAATTAACAAGCTAAAGGTGGTCAAGAGGCAGACATGCCCTCTGCAGACTGGCGACGTCATCTACGTGGTGTACAGGAAGAATGAGCCTGAACACAGTAAGAAGGGAAGTGGGAGACGGGGTTACTGCCTGCAGGGGTGTTCCCATTAGCCACATCCTTGCCTGTCTACATCTATTCCCCAAATAAGAGATGCTGGTGAAGGCTGTCCCTTGAGTTACTGTCGTGGTCACAGATCTTAAAATAGCTCTGAGGAGAAAAGAAGGGTGTGGGCTACATAGCAGAAGTCCAAGTTGTGGGGACAAAGGCCCCAAAAGAGAGGACTGGAAGTCTGATGGATCTGTCGCTGGGCACAGTCACAGGAGGCAGCAGAGGTTAGATAGCAATTGTTAACCCTGTCCAGCTCTGACGTCTGTTGGTGAAAGAAGAATGAGTCAGGGGAGTTAAGGGAGTCTTTTGAACATCATCCAACATAGAAAGAAAGGGACAAATATTTCCTAGGTTGTCTGCAGCGTGACCCAGATCAGCCTCTGTCCCCACGGCAGCACCTACTGCTAGGAGTTGGGCCAGTCCTGGCTTTGCCTCTCCTGCTGTCCTAACTGCAGGTGTTTTTTTCCCTGAGACTCATCTAGCTTAAAGTTAGTTGTTTGGATCACTTATTTTAAAAGCCCCTAAGCTGGTGAGTATTGTCATTTAGCCGATAAGTCAAAATAGTTAGGAGAAGGCCAGAGCAGGGTCAGGCAGCTCTGGCTAGACTGACATGGCACCTCCTTTCAGATGTGGCTTACCTCTATGAGTCTCTCAGCGGAGAGCGAGGTGCAGCACCAGACCCTTCTGGTAAGTACAGTGCTGGGAGTCCATGCAAAGCTCTTGGATCCCCGGACCTGACTTATCTGATGCCATAATGCTTTTCACAGGTGCCAGTGAGGACAACGTGCTCCAAGCGACCAAAGGTACCTCAGATGCAGGGCGAGGCGACCTGGCACTGCTGCCTTCACCCAACATTCAGGCATGCTTCAGGGAGCCACAGCCATCGACGTCAACATCAGACCTCTTCCCTACAGCCTCTACCTCTTCCGTGGAGCTCTCCCTTGCAGGGCGGGAGACTTCCTCCGGTGCTGGTGAGGGAGGATAGTGCCCACAGTGCTCTTGCTTCACTGACCCTAAGCTGTGTTATCACAGAGGTGGAGAAACTCAGGGCTTTGGAAATGGTGTTCTTATCCCGGGATTTCTGTAGTGACAGGCTACGGAAGTGCTGCCATGCTCTGGCATATTCCGGTTTTACTGGGATGTGATCATACACCACACAAATCGTCCCATTCAGGTGCACACTTCTGTGGTCTCTTCTCCACCTCTCGGTTTTAGAGCTGTGGGCTGCCCTGGCCCCTGCCAGCTACTAATTTGCTTTCTTTGTCAGAAGATAGCTTATTTTTGTCAGCACACACCATTGAAGTCACATGTTAGTCCGACCTCCCAATCAGCTTTTCAGGAATGAACAGAAAACAGCTCTGGCCTATTAAGAAAACCTCCATCAGAATGTGTCGGCCCAGCATAGCACACTGTCCCTCAGTGGTCAGGCTCTGGTCACTTTTGAACAAAGCTCTGATTTTTATAAATGGCAACACTTGGACTCCTAAAGCAAGAGTAAAGTAGTGGGATGACACTCAACGTTTCTGCTCAGTAGAGAAAACCATTAAAAATTACAAGGTAATCTGCTCAATGGAATAAAATATCCATAAGTCATACACTTCATAAAACTTACACAGTTCAATAGCAACCAGTCTCTTAAAACGAGGACAGAGGGGACCCTCCCTGGTGGCACAAGGGCCTAAAGCACAGCACTGTGAAGCTGTCAGCAGCCACTGTAGCACAAGTTCGGTCCCTGGCCAGGAAGTAACCCACATGGCACTGCAGGCCTCTCCTGACCTGCACTGCTCCCCTTGGCAGTGTACTTTGTCCATCTGCCTGTTCTGCTCCCCACTCTATCTTCAGTGAATCCTTTCATTCATTGCTCCTCTGGCCTACACCATAGTTCTGTGTGCATAAATAAATCTTTTTAAAAAGGAAAGAAGATCTGATAGGTATTTCCCAAGGATAGGTGCTGAACAGACACAAGTGAAGACGATCAGCATCACTGGCTATACGTCACCTCATAACACAAGTGGCTTTAGCAAGAACGGGGCAGCTGGTGTTTGGAGGAGAGAGAGAGGGAGCCCTGAGCACTTTTAGTCAAATGAGAAATGGTGCAGCCTCTGGAAATGGATTCCTTAAAAATGAAAACTTGATCTGTTTTAGGATCCAACAGTTTCACTTCTGGATTGATGTCTCAAGGGTGTGGAATCCACCCCTCAGGGAGATCAGCAACCTCTTGTTTGACACAGCACTTTTTTCATAGCAACCAAGAAATGGAAACAGCCAGTTTCCATCAGAATGTTGAAAGGGTAGATATGAGATGCACAAACACCACACACATCCCACACTCGGTGCACACAGTAACACCCCACCGTGAAGAAGCATCATCATCCTGTATTTGTTTGTAATGGCAAAATCAATGAACAAGAATCTCTTGTAGGGTGCCTGCTGGCTTTTACCCCTGAATAAACTTTTTTTTTGGCTGCCGTAGGCCAATGTACTCCTTTTCAAAGTGGCTCCATTCCCGCTGCACCCAGCTGTGTGCTGTGCTGTTAACCATGGGGCCTCGTGGACATAAAGGTCACTTGACAGTCCCCACACCTCTGCCATGCCTGATTCATGTCTGTCTCTGGCATCTGCTGATGGAATGTCACTTTTCCCGTGAGCTGCTCTCTTCCTCCCTGTCACTCTTGGAGGGGGCCACACACCCTGTGCACATTTGTCCATCCTTTCTCAGGGCTGTGCTCACATGGGGCCAGGTCTCAGCTGTCTTGTGAAGACCAGAATGTGGCATTCCTGTGTGTAACCGAGCCCAGCAGAGCCTTCTGCATTTCTACCATGAGCCTGGCAGTGTTGGGCACAGGCCCCAGAGTGCACGCTGTGAGGGCAGCATCTCTGGCAGGCTCATCTCCTGGCTGTCGCAGGTCTGGGGTGACCTATACCTGGTTCAAAGAGTGGCCCTGTGCCCCATACTCATCTGTTTAGGCAGCCGCTCTTGTTTGTCCCACAGGCTCTGGAGCTGCAGGCATCTCCCCAAGAGGCAGTGGTCCTGTGGCAGACATGCTCCCCAGGAGCCCAGCAGCCCCGCCAGCTCAGGTGTGCGTATCCTCCACTCCATCGGCACCTCAGGACCAGGAGGGTTTGGAGCCTGTGAAGAAGCGCACGAGAGGAGGTCAGGTCTTGGCTTCTGTGTGTCCTCTGTGCTCTGGCAGCTAAGCCCTGTCCGCTGTGGTCGAACACAGCTCTCTCCCCTGCTGATATCAGCGGCAGGGCCGTTGCCACCCCACACTCTTGGCCTAGACACCAGGTGTCTGAGGCGCAGCTCTGTCTCCCAGCACACTGGAGAGTTTATGTTTTCTAGCACTTGCTGTATATGCATGAGTCACATTTTTTGTTAAACAAAAGTAACATCACACTCTTACTGTTGAATAGCTGGGCTTTGTCTTTTAGTTGTGTGGCCCGAATGTCCCTTTTTATTTCTTTAACAATTCTTTACAACTAAAGGTAATCATGTTGGAACATGAGGCTTGTCTTGGGTCTTTTTACAGATGCTTTTCAAAATACACACTGGCCAAGGTGCCTTCTGTAGGCTGACCTCTGTAGACAGGGATGCTATGTGTCTGTTCTTCTTTGGCTCTGTGGGTCAGAATGTGCCCTTTTCTCTCCTAGATGAGGAGACTGACATGGCCCTACCACTGTTGGCTGCTGATCAGTGTCCAGCGGCCCCCACCAGCCTAGAAGCTGTCAGAGCTGCAGCCCTGAAGCCAGACAGGATGGAGGAGACGCTCACGTGCATCATCTGCCAGGACCTGCTGCACGACTGTGTGAGGTGCCTGCTGAGGGTGCCCGGGCTGGGTGGGGATGGGCAGTGAGACAGCCGAGGCTGTGCTGCTGCAGTTGCATTGTCCACCTGGAATCTGAGGCTGGGCAAAGAGGCGCTTACAGGGGCCTGAGCATATGCCCGGTGCCCAGCCTGCAGCCCTGCATGCATACCTTCTGTGCCGCCTGCTACTCGGGCTGGATGGAGCGCTCCAGCCTGTGCCCCACCTGCCGCTGCCCAGTGGAACGGATCTGCAAGAACCATATCCTCAACAACCTGGTGGAGGCGTACCTTCTTCAACACCCAGGCAAGTGGGTGCCCAGCCCTGGAAACCCCACTCTTCCCCAGGCCTTCTGGTCAACCAGCCACACCCTTTGACTTCCAGACAAGAGTCGCAGCGAGGAAGACGTTCGGAGCATGGCTGCACGGAACAAGATCACGCAGGACATGCTGCAGCCCAAGGTGCGGAGGTCCTGCTCTGACGAGGAGGGCAGCTCCGAGGACCTGCTGGAGCTGTCGGACGTAGACAGTGAGTCCTCAGACGTGAGGTAAGTCCACTCAGACCATCCCCAATGTCCGGACTCTCCTCTGCCACCTGTGAAGGCACGTTGGCCACCTGTCCCTGCCTCTCCTGCCCTCATCAGACCCCTGGGGTGGCGTACCCCTCTCAGCCAATGCCACTTCTGCTGCTCATTGCATGCCACACACCTTCAACGTGTGTGGGCAGCACTGCAGTGAGGTCTCAGTTGCTGCTCCAACTCACCTCAGGATCTGAGCTTTGAGTTTTAAAGGAAAAGGGACAAAGCTTTATCTTTGTTTCCTTTCACAACATTTAGCATAGCAATCAAGTAAAAGGAAGGAAGCCAAAGATCCCTGTGGCGCTGATGTTCAGTGTCCAGCTGATCACTCACATAGTCCATGCTTGTGTTTTAACAAGCATAGAACGTGATTTATTCAGATAAATGTTTCATAAAATGAGATCATGCTGTGAAAGTGTTTCCGGTGTTCTGAACTTAGAAACATGCTGCATTTCTGCTCTGTGCCATGGAGACTTGTTCGCGGCCAGAAGCCGAAAGGTCTCACCGGACTCCTAGAGGCTAGAGCCCCTTTGTCCCACTGGTGTCACCTGCTGACCAAAACACCTCGAACCCGAGCATCAGTTCTGTGGCTGCTTTTTCACCATGTGCTAGTTTTGCCAGCACGGCTGAAGAGTGTGACCGGGTGGTGCAGCGCCCCTGTGGCCGCCTGGGGATTCCCTGGGTAGCAGTGCCTAGCTGGCCCCTTGGCTGTGACCCATGTGGGGTAGATGTGCCAACACTCTGAGCCCACCCGGCTGGACTGGCAGAGCATAGTGGGCTTCCAGTCTCACAGTTTGACTCCCTGGCATCAGAGCCTGCCCAGTGTAGGGGTGGGCCCTGAGGGTGTGGGACCCCAGGAGGTAAAGGCAGAAGTGCCTGTACCTGTGCTGCTCTCTGGCACATGCTACAGAACCAGGGGGTCCAAGCTTGGGGCTCACTCCTGGTCCATGCTTCCTTTGCAGCCAGCCATACATCGTGTGCAGGCAGTGCCCTGAGTTCCGAAGGCAGGCGGGGCAGCCCCTTCCCTGCCCCGGGTCTGGCAGTGAGTCAGGGGCACCGCTGGCCCCAGGGGGGGATGCCCCATCCACATCTACCCATGCCACAGCAGGTGAGCCCATGACCACCCCCACCCCCCCTTTCCCTTGCTGTGACTCCAATACTGCTCATGTCCCTCCCGGGTCCTCTGCTCAGTGCTTCTCAGGACCTGTTTGGGATCAGAAATGAGAGATCAGAGATGGACATGCCTACTTGAGACTCTACTCCTGGGCCTGGTCCTAATTCTGGTGCCCAGCCCCCAGCCTACACCTCAGGCATCCTTGGGGTACTCTCCTGGGTGACTTGTCACCCATAGCCCCATGGTCAAGGCACCTGCCTGTCTCCAGGGGGTGGAACCTGTGAGCTGGGCCCCTGGGTTGCTACAGCCTGGGCCTTGGACTTCCCAGACCCCACCTTGGCCTCACAGCTCTGGCCACCAAAGCTACATAGGCTACAGGCCCAGGACTGGCCTGCATGTCCCTGGAGGTTCTCCCAGGACCACCACTTGGGGGAGATCTCAGATGACATTTGAAGTCTTGCTCCACCCACTGAACTAAAAAGAGCTGTTGAGCAAGTCCATTTGTTCACCTTTCTGTTTAGATGGTCACTGTGACGTGGCCCTCGGAAAGGGGTCTGGGTTCTCCTGGCTTTCCCACAGGCCTACCTCTTCCTGCCTTGAACTGTCTCTCTGCCCCCTAGCTCCAGAGTACGTGTGTACCATGCAGGGAAGCCATGCCATCTGCACCTGCTGCTTCCAGCCCATGCCTGACCGGAGGGCTGAGCGTGAGCAGGACCCCCGCATCGCCCCGCAGCAGTGTGAGTGGGGGTGCGTGTTGCTGTACTCACCCTTCCTGCCTGGCTTCCTCTCGCTGTCTCAGGCACTGGGGTCAGCACATCCAGCAGGCGGAGCAAGCAGCTGGGCTCTCCATTAGTGCTGCGGGGGCTGCGTTCCTCCCTGGCTGAGATGCTCATGTCTTTGCTCTTCCTCACGTGGAGGCTTGCCCTGAGGTATAAGCCTTCTCCAGGGCCCAGTGGGGGACCTGCATGCCATCAGCCCCACATGAGCCACAGAGCCTGCCTTATGGTCACCATGGTGTACCGTCAGGACAACCGAGCTCGTCCTCAGTGCCCAGAGACACCAGAAGACGTTCCTTCAGAGGAGACTGGTGCCCTGGCCCCTAGGAACCACTGCTGAGTGCTGTTGGATGTTTCAGGTTGGAGAGAAGAGAAGGCAAGGGCAGCCCACAGTTCTGCCTCAACTCTGACCTCATGTAGAGACTCTGGCACATGGGGGTGTTTGTGATGACCTTCCAGAACTGCAGGGCTTTATTTCCACCCTGAGAACTGTAGTTAGGCCCTCCCAGCAGTATATCCAGATCCCATTCTGGGAACTGTTGCTCTCTGAAGCCTGGCAGAGACATGGACAGTTTAGACCTGGGAGGGTGCCAGGACCGGGGTGCTGCCTCCTGTGGCTACACCATTTCTCCTGAGGTGGGTGGGGGGAAGGATCCACAAAGGAGTATGGCCCTCCTGCTGGCCACTTCCCAGTCCCTTGATGTCATCAGGCATGAGTGACAAGGCCCACCTGGCCAGCAGAGGTCAGGGCTGTGCCCGATGCTGTCTCTGTATCCACAGGCACCGTCTGCCTGCAGCCCTTCTGCCACCTGTACTGGGGTTGTGCCCGTTCCGGCTGCCATGGCTGCCTGGCCCCATTCTGTGGTAAGCTGGCTCCCCACAAGGTCCCCTCAGACTGTGCTCTCAACTTCTGGAGGTGGGTAGGGAGGATAGGTCTGCCGGATGTGGGGGCACCACTGTGACTGTGAGTGAGCCATTTCCTGGCAGAGCAAATGGTGTGCCACTTTAGAATGGTCAGCCATGTTCACGGGAGCCCACAGTGAGGGTACCCGGTGAGAACGCTCTTGTAAGCTCCAGCACTGACTACACCACCAGGCCGTGTGCTGCCCTTATGTGGGCCTTTTCAGAAGGAACAGCGGGAAGTCAGTTTTACTTGTAGTCTTTTTTTCCTTTTTTTAAGATTTATTTATGCATATAAGAACTTGGATGTAAGCCAGAGGTGTAGGAGGTAAGAGCATTCCCCAGAGACAGAGTAGGAAGCAGAACAGGCAGGTTGACTGAACTATACTGCTCAGGGGAGCAGCAGGGAGACAGGAGAGGTCTGCTGCACCCTGTGGGTCAGCACTCTGGCCAAGGATCTAACTTGGGCTGCAGTGGCTGGCATTAGCTTGATAGCTCGGTGTCTTTAACTCCTGCACCACCAGGGAAGCTCCTTACTTGTAGTCTTTTTTAAAATGTGCTTTAAGAAATACTTAATTCTTTAAAGACTTTGGTGTGAAAGAAATTGGCTATCTCACATGTGGGGTGCACAATTCTTCCATAAACCATCTTTACCAACACATAATGTCACTTCCCTCCTCCCCGACAGAACTCAACCTGGGTGACCGGTGTCTGGACGGGGTGCTGAGCAACAACAACTACGAGTCTGACATACTCAAGGTGCGGCCATGGTCCATTGTGATGAGCAGGTGGGGCTGGGCCCTTCCTGGCCCTGGCCCTCACCTTGTTTGGGAACCCAGACACTCAGTACAGGGCTGGCCTCTGGCACCCCCAGGGGTGCACTGAATGCGCTATGCCTGGAGGGGCCAGTGGCACTCGATGTGTGCAGGTTTCCAAAGCATGTGCCTGTGGGGGTTCTGGAAAGTGCGGCAGTGGACTCCCGTGCTCTGGCTGGTCCTGCTGCACTGAGCCTCGGTCTGGACAGCAGCCCTCCTGCTCACAGCACTCTCTGGGCACCCTCAGGCACTGCCCCCAAGGCTGGCCTCTCAGGTTCATGTTCCTTCAGGGTCTTCCTCAGAAGTGTCAGCACTCTGCCACTCCACATCCCCCAGGCTGGTCTGTCATTTCCCTCACAGAGCTACCTGGCCACCAGAGGCATGACCTGGAGAAATGTGCTCACCGAGAGCCTGGCGGCACTGCGCAGGGGTGCTTTTCTGCTGTCTGGTGAGCCTCACCTTTGCCTCAAGGGCAGTTCCTCTGCCTCCCCTAACTCTGTCCATCTGCAGGGCCCCACTGCCTGAAAACCCAGTTGGTATCATGTCTCCGTCCACATACTGTGTCTGGGTGTTGCCTCTCAGAGGCTAGACACAGAGTGGGGCCTGGGGCAGGGGTTCAAGCCCTCAGGGTCCTCGTGAACTGTTGCTAAGACCTTGTTGCTTTGATGGGAGGTGTGATTTTTTTGTCTCTGAGGAAAACTGCTGAAAAATCAGCACCTCTTTTTCTTTTTTTTTTTAATAAAGATTTATTTATACATACAGAAGAGAGGTACAGGCCAGAGGTGAGAGGATTCACCAGAGACAGAGTGGGTAGTAGAATAGGCAGATTGATAAACTACACTGCTGAGGGGAGCAGCCAGCAACACTGGAGACGTTTTTTGTGCCATGTGCATCACCTCTGGGGCCTAGGATCAAGCATGCATCGAAGCGACTGTGGCTAGCTTACAGTGCTCACCCTGTGCCACCAGGGAGGGCCCAGCACCTTTTTTTCCCCCAAAATATAAGGCCTTGGGGTTTGGCTGGGAGACCCTAGGACATGTGTCTCCTGGGAGGAGCTGAGGTGGCAACGCAGCAGACCGTGCCTGCCACCACTCCAACAGGTGTTTCCATTCCACCCTGCAGGCTCTTTGTAGTGTGATGTGGTTCACAGGAAGTGGCCACGGCAGAGACGTATGCTACCTGTTACGGGATTCCCCAAATATGTTCTGGTGGCCACTGATCTTGACAGTGGTTCTACATGTTGCTAAAGGTCCGCCATCCACAGCAGCGTCTCCCTGTGCCAGCAAAGCTCTGTGCTTTGGGTCTTTGTAGTCAGGACCCAAGGACACCACAGTCACTGCCACCTCTCAGTGCCCGAGATGGCACAGCAGCAGCAGGGTGCCTGCTGTTTACTTCTGAGAGCTTGGCCTGCAGTCAGGCCTCGAGGTTCATGGTCACAGGGATAGAGACGGTGCTCTCCACAGCTGGACTTGAGCCCGGCTTGGGCCTTTCAGATCTTGTGGATTCCAACGCCAAATAGTCCATGCTGCAGGTTTACCTGCCTGTTGGGCTAGTAAATGCTGACAATTATTTTGGGGATCGCTGGCTCGTTGGCAGCCTTGATCCATGTGCATGTCAGGTATCTGGATTGGGTCTGGGTTCCTGTGGACTGTGAGTTATTCTGGATTGGGTCTGGGTTCCTGTGGACTATGAGTTATCTTGTCCATCAGTGCCCCACACATTGTTAGGTGCCACCAGCATTCCCCTGACTGGATTTAGCTGCTTCCATCTTGGTGTTCACAGCTTCACCCTGCAACATAAGCTTGAGCATCCTTCCCTACATGTACATTATGGGTGGCACAGAGAAAGCTCAGAGAAAAGTAGTATCCACCCACACACCTTTTTTTGGGGGGGGGGGGCTTTTAAAAATACTTAGGTTTTTGTTTGTTTGTTTGTTTTAATCTAAGTGAAACTACTTTCTTCAAGAAAATAAAATCAATGTTAGATTCATCTTGTTCTTCTTATTTGCAAAGCAGATGTCTAGTCAGTTGCCTTCCCTTCTCTGTCTTATAACTAGCCTTAATCCCCCAGATTGGCACAACCACAGCCACTGTTAGCCAGGCCAAAGCCCAAGAAGCTGACCACGCTGGCTGTGTTCTTCAGATTACAGGGTCTCGGGGAGCACTGTGCTATGTTACTCCTGTGGCCTGCGCAGCTTCCGAGAGCTGACCTACCAGTACCGGCAGAGCATTCCCGCCTCTGAGCTCCCAGGTGAGGCTCCATAGGCAGCCTGGACCTCGCATGTTCTGTGGGGTGCCCCTCAGCACAGTGTGGTGGGGCAGGAGGCCTGCCTGTTTTTAGGCTTGGCCCTGGGTCAGCAGAGCACTGGGTCTGCTTGCTTGTGGCTCCTACAGCAGGCATATAAATAGCCCCAGGCAATGTGGCCATCTTACTTGGGAGGAGGCTGGTCAGGACTTGACCAGCTGTGGAGCTTCGGTGTAGCCTCGGGCCTGTGCCTCAGTTCAGCCATCAAGTGTGACATCGTGACACATGTCCCTTTTCCTTCTCAGTGGCTGTTACCTCTCGTCCTGACTGCTATTGGGGTCGCAACTGCCGCACACAGGTGAAGGCGCACCATGCCATGTAAGTGAGGTGGTCCAGGCAGGGCAGGGTTGTGGGAGGGCAGCCTCTTTCCTGAGAGGAAGGCAGTGTTCTGAAAGGGTCTTTGCCAAGTCCATCTTCCAACTGCAGAGTCCCTCAGGGTGTGCAACAGTCACCATGAGATGTCCTGCTCTCACTTCTGAAACACTTGCCATGAACATCTGTCCTCCACATCTGGAGGCTCTTCTCCACCCTGGTCAGCTTTCCAGACCTGGTGGGCCCTCCCACAGGGTTAGATCCCTACCTCATGGCTGCAGTCTCGAATCACCCTGAGCCTGAGCCCCGTCTGTGGGGCTGTGGGTTGCATCACCTTCAGGCATTTCCCACACCTACTTTAGAGGTTGCTCAGGCATTACCCACATTGCCACATGAAGTTATCCATAAGCATAAGCAAGTTAGGCAGGTGATCCTCTAACTCAGCTTCCTGGGTCAGTGCTACTTGAGGTCGATGTTTTCTACAAATCATTATTTATGGTTTGAATTTCAGTAGCCAGGAGTGTCCCCTAGTGCACAAGGCATTGCAGGGTCTCACCCTTGTCTGTATTTGAGCGTGTGAGAAGAGGCCAGGTTGTTATACGAGATTTCAAGGGTGACTGGCTACTAGTAAACATGATAGCAAAGAAGCAGAGAGGTCTGTGAGCATCTGTGTGCCTGCACTGAGGCCCTGCTGCCCCTGCTGCTTGCCGTTAGCCCTGGAGGGGCTGCCAGCAGACACACTTGACTCTTTTAAGAAAATCAACAAATGCATTCAGCATCTATGCTACAGTTTAGAAAGTGGGGAAGGAGTTCATCCCTGGGTGAGTTTCTTTGCTGGTATTGGTAACATGCCGCCGTGAGTGCCCGGCGCTTCTGCGTCTCATGCTCATCCCAGCTGGTGCCCGGTGCTTCTGCCTCTCATGCTCATCCCAGCTGGGGAACCAGTTAGCTAGTGTGAGTGTCTCCACTCCTGTGATCTGGCTGTTTCTCTCCCACAGGAAGTTCAATCATATCTGTGAACAGACACGGTTCAAGAACTGAGTGTGCCCAGAGGCTTTGACCTGGCCCAGCTCACTGGAGGTTGATGTCAAGGTTTCAGAAAGCACCAAACTTGGACGTGTGAGGGCATCAAGAGCCCCTCAGCCGCGGGTCTCTGCACTGGCGCGGTAAGACTGCATCTATGCCAGGAGGACTTAGCAGCCTGGTGTGACCATGCTCTGAGATGCTGCCAGTACCTGTGCTTCCACTGGGTTGGCCCACTGCGCTCACCTGCCCATAGCACCACGAAGCTTTGCCCTTTGCATTTTTCCCACAACTGGTTCAAGAACATCTCTTCAAGAAAAGTTTCATGGAGGGAAGAGTCAGAAATACGCTTTTTAAGGAAAATGGACAAAAGTTAACAGGCCGCCATATCTTAACATCATTTTATTTTCATAGGTCTGGTGCTTATCTTCTAATAAGATTTAAATATAACTGTAGCACAAATAATATAATTTATAAGTTACGTATTGACTAAAATTGGGTCTAGTGTGTTGAGACAAATAAACTCGTTTTTGTTTACTAAAATAAAATCATCAGCTATCCAGAGCTGCTAGCTCTGGACACCAGACTTCAAGTGCCAGCCCTTCCTATCAGGCCCCCAGCCCGCCCCAGAGGCTCTCAGTGCAGCTGCAGCTGGCCACAACTTTCCTCTCCTTCTTTCCGGAGCCACTCAGCTCGCATTGGGGCCTTTCCTTCCCTCCTCCATTGAGTTTGCCCTGTGATCTGAAGAATACTTGAATTTTTGTTCTTTGTTTAAAAAAAAAATGTTTTTTATCTTTCCTTAAAATCCTCTGTTTCATTTGTTTGCAAAATTGTAACCTTTTTGCTTCTCAGGAATCCAATTTTCAACTATTGTCTTGCTCTTGACACAGACTGAAGCGGTTGTTTATGAAGAGCCCTGCTTCCTGTTCTAATAAACAGCTGAGTCTGTCCCCACCATGGCCCTTGCTGTGTTGGCGACACCGCTCCTTGGGGGGAGGACAGCTGCTGGCCTCACTGGTGACTGACACCCGCAACCACCTAGGGACCACCAAGGGACCTGTGGGTGTGCAGATGTGAAGATAAGGGCTCTTGCAGATGCAGGAAGGGGGCTTCCCTCACCACAGACACTGGCCCCTTGTGCCCTGCGCCCTCTCCTGGCCAAAATGTGAAAACAGCAGCTCCAGCCCCTGAAAAACAAGGAGCTTTTCATTTCAGGTTTAAAACTGTATGAAAGGCTGGAGGGTCCTGCTGGGGTGGGCACAGCCTGGCTGTACTGGAGCATCTCTGCATTAACACCTAGGCTTTCCAAGGGTTTGACCCACCCCAATAAATCCCACGCATGAGCCCCTTGCTATATATATGAAGACTCCAGGACCCCACACTAGACCTGCTGGTTGGGTTCCATGGGTGAGGCCACCACAGTCTTCATTCTAGATTTGGTCCTTATATCCCACAGGATGAGACTGAACCTAGGTCTGGTATTGGTCACACTTCTACACCCCATGTGGAGCAAGGCACTCCAGACCCTGAGTCTGCCGTGCAGTTAAAGCTCAAGTTCTACAACACCTGAGGGTGGAGTCTCTCTGCTCCTACTGCTCCCTGAGCCCCTCTGCTGTGAGAACAGCCACAGCTGCATCCCGGGGATGCTGGAAGCCAAGGCTTGCAGGAATACACTGAAACAGTTCAGTGAATATAACCAAGTTTGCTTAAAATCGCTAGGTTTAGAGCCCACCCTGGTGGTGTAGTAAGTTAAAGCACAGCACTGTGAAACTAGCCTAGCCTCAGGCACTAGAGCACTAGTTCTGCAGCCAGGGAGCTGACCCACATGGCAGTCTTCTGTCTCACCTACTGCCTCCCTCAGCAGTGTACTTGGTCAAGCTGCCTATTCTGTTCCCCACTCTGTATCTAGTGAATCCTGCACCATCCCTGCATCTCTGGCCTGTACCCCAGTTCTGCATGCGTAAAAAAAAATGCATCTTTTTTTTTAAATTGAGGGTTTTTTTTTAAAGATTTATTTATTTGTGCATACAGAACTGGGATACAGGCCAGAGGCTCACGGGCGGCGAGAGGCTTCACCAGAGACAGAGTGGGGAACAGAACAGGCAGATCTACAAAGTACACTGCTGAGGGGAGCAGCGGGCAGGCCAGGAGAGGTCTGCCACGCCATGTGGTCACCTCCAGGGCAGGCAGGATCAAACTCATGTGGAAGTGCCTTTAGCTTCTCAGTGCTGTGCTTTAACCCGCTGCGCCACCAGGGAGGGTCAAATTGAGGGTTTTTTTGAGCTCTCACATTGGTCTCCCCAGAACAAGGCTCTGGACACTGTCAATGGGGTCAAAGGACAGAGGAAGCAGAAGATCTGCAAGCTGCTGGCACATGAATGTTTGCTTTATGTTGAACCACGATGTGACTCAGATCTGGGTCTAGCAATGCAGCGAGACAGTGGCTCTTCCTGGTGTCCTGAGCCTAGGGTACAGGTCCCTCTTCCATGGCCAATTCCCTGGGTTGTGAGAAGTCACTCTGAAACATAGCTGTCAATTTAGGAAAATGTGGGTTTGCCTTTTAAAGTGGATATGGATGTATTTGTCTGGTTTCACTCTTGTAAGTCTGCCCTGCAATACTGTGAGACAAGCAGATTGAAGAAAAGGCCAAGTACCCATCCATTTCAGCTATTGGGACACATAATTAGGTGTGTTTGATTGTTAGCAAAGTCATGGAGCTGTGTTCCAGGGGGACCACTCTCAGCACCCCTGCAATGGTTGAGATCTAGCTTCTCCACATCCTGTGATCTCTCAACTACTTTAGCTGCTCTGGTAGATGTATGGTGACAACTCATTTGTGTGTGTGCAAACTTAATTTGCATTTGTATAATACTAGTGTGACACAACGTCTATC